CACCATCAGCTAAGTGTCCACCAGAATTATCGCCTCATTCACCACTCAGACCTGGCTGGAGGCCGAGCAAGCGCGGCAGGAGGCAATCGCTGCCGAGTACCGGTGCGTGCTGGAGGCATTACGTAGCTTGTTGCATCAATGGGCGAGTTGAACGTGTTCGAATGCGGCGGTGTGGCACAGTCTATGCGGTTGTTGAACAGATTGCTGTCTCGGGTCTCGGCCTCACCATCGAGCCGGCCGCCAACGATCTCGGTCTGTGGTTTGGCTTGGTCGGTCGCGACACCGAGTCACCGGCGGCTGAATGGATGGCATGCTCCATGGCAAACGCCAGAGTCCTTGCATTCCCATCGTCATCGGTCATCCTGCTCGAGATCGATGCTCTCCTGCGCCCCAGCACGCTCTGGGTTGTGGTGCCGTTTGAGATCGGGCGCTTCTCCGCATCGACTACGCGCTGGTCCACGGCACCGGGCGATCCGAGCTGGCTCTGCAGATAGGACCAGCAGCTGCGCCGCTGCAGCACGCAACGGTGGTCGGCAGGCCGCCACCACGAGCCATGACAACCGCAAAGACTGGCTCTGAAGACGGTCGAGGAGTGCGCAGACCGCCTCCAGTTCCACACCATTGGCAGACTGGCTTACGAGTTCGGCGAGACCTACCCGGACATGTTCAACGCCTATCTGAGTCAGCACAGGGACGGGCTCCGCTTCGTTATGCAGGAGATCATGCGAGGCACGATCGCTCGCATGAAGGCGTTGAAGAAGCAAGATGCTGCTTCCGGCTCGACCCCGGGTCCCATGGTCATCGTGTCGGCCTAGACTCACCCATGGTCGTCAACCGGTCCGGTGGAAGGCCGGGTGTAAGGGTAAGTTTGATGGTGCTACACCCACACAGTGACGCTCGAGGATGATCTCGATCACCATCAACTTCCGCACCCGCGACCTGACCGTGTCCGCCTACAGGCTCTTTGCGGACCCGGCGGATGCCGACCGCATCGCCAACATGTCATCGTTCACTGTGCTAGGGTTCGACATCCGGATCCGCGGCGTGACCGTCCGGGAGAGACTCACTGGCTTGGTCGCAAAGCTCAAGGACATGATCGTGGCTGTCTATGATCATGTCACGGACGCGGCTGCCGAACTCCATCACGACCTCAACATGGTGTAGCCCAGCATGCAACGTTTAAACCCTCCATTTCCCCCTGACGATCCCCATCACCACCCCCACCATCAACAACAACCCGGGCATCGCCGCCTCAAGCTCATGCTTGCTCATCTCCAGCACCACCAGCAGCAGCACGCCGCCCATGCCGACGAGTGGCTGACCGACCAGTGGCTGGCCGTCACTCGACCACTCGCACCTCGCCCACAGCACCAGCAGCCACCACCACACTCATCCCACTCCGCCCGCCGCCGACCGACCACCGCCGGCACCACCGAGAGCAAGCTAGCCATCGACAGGGCTTTGGAGGCGATGCATAGAGATAGCCACGTCATTGGCAATGACTACCAGTTTGCCTTCCAACCCACTTCTCCCCTCCCTTCTCCGGCCTTGCCCATCACAGCCCCCGCCGGCCTGCTCATCGCCAGCCGCCCCTGCCGCCGACCACCGAGCCAGACGACGAGACCACCGGGCTGGCCATGGCGAGGAAGAACAAGAGAGGGCAAGGGCAAACAATAGACAATGTTGTGGTGGGCTAGAGTGCAGTGGTCTGCCTCCCCCTCCAATCTAAAGCCATCGTCTCCATCGACGTACATCTCAACCCAATCCGTCCGCCCTCCTCTCCCGCGCCGCCGAAGTGCCTACCTTCCTCAACGCCCCCCCCCCCCCCCCCCCCCCCACCACCCCGGGCCCACTCCCCACCATCCTCACCCACAACCACCACACCCACACCACACACACCCACCATGTTTTCAACTGCGACTCCCACAAGCGCTCGAGTCCTACAATCTCTCGTCGATGCCAAACCATTGCAGATCGCCACCACCCCGTATCGCCGATTATCTGCGCCCCGTTCATGCCGCCGCCACCATCGAAGGTCGCCCTCCACTTCTTGGCGCCGCCCTCTAGGCCGATCTCAATCTGCTCAGTACCCTCATTGCTGAAGGACTCGCTGTCTTCTCCTGGTCAAGCTATCGCCGTTAATCGAGCTGGCTCAGTCGCGCGCATTGCTTGCGACACTGTTTTGTTTTGCCCACCCCTCACCCTCCTTTCCTGCCACATGCCGCCCAGACCTTTCTTCCTTCTGGGGACAAGACAGCTACGCCAGGTACTCGTACATGCCCTTCTCGCCCTGGACACGCGCAAGATATCCCTTGTCAATCAGCTGCTCGATGGCCTTCTTGATGAGCGCGACCCGCGGCTTGAACCGCGCGGCTGCGATCTCGCAGACCTCGCCAACAAGAACCGAGTGAGCCATCTTCTTGCGCGCCTTCATCAGCCGCACAACTGCGGCCTGGAGGAAGAACATCCGCTCTTCGCTCACTCCGCGAACAGTCGCCGCCCGCTCTTCTGTCGAGTCGCGGATGAGCGACGAGAGCACCTTGACCCGGATCCGCTTGTTGCTAAAGTTGAGGTTGACTTCGAGCTTGGTCGACGAGTTGAGCTTGATCGGAGCGCGCTTCTTGCCCTTGCCCTTCTTACCCTTGCTCGGCTTGGCTGACGACGACGCCGCCGCATCGTCGGTCTCGGCCTCGGTCTTGGCCTCGGTCTTGGCCTTGGCCTCGGCCTTGGGCTCGGCCTGGCTCACCGCTGTGTCTCCGGCATCTGCAACAAGCGAGAGGAGCTTGACCTTGACCAGCGACGCAACGTTGCGCATGAGGACCTTCGACTCGAGACCAACCAGCTTACCGATTTCCGCAACTGAAAAGACCGTGCCGCGGTTAAAGAGGCAGAGGATGGCCATCTGGTAGTTGGTGACAATGAGATCGTGGTTCTTGGCCAGGTATGCCGTCCGCAGCTCACCCTTGGTTAGCTCCGGGAGCCAGAACAGCTCGCGTCCACTGTGCTGGTTCTTGTAAAAGGCCTCGAACCGCTTGATGAGCTTGTCGAGCTCTGGCGGCTGTACAAACGGCGTCGATGGCGACGACAGCGGCCACGAGCCCTTGGTGAGGACCTTGAACGAGAACGCCACACCGCCGATGTCCATTCCAGTCTTCTCCACCGCAGTCGCAAAGCTGGCGTTGAGCTCGTCCGAGAGCGTCATGTCCTGAAACATCTTCTGCAGCTTGGAAGTGTACTCATAGCCAGCCGCCTTCTTCAGCCGCGAGATCATCGCAGACTCGGCGTCGTCCGACACAGAGAGGCTCTGGATCAGACGCTTCGCCAACATTTGCGAGTAGAACTTCTGGAACACGTCCTTGTCTTCGAGATACTGGAACACCTCCATGACCGAGTCGAGCACCTTGCTCAGCTCGGCGTCCTCAAGCTGCGACTTGGACGACTTGCGGAGTACCATGTCGCAGTACTTGGCGAGCAGCTCCGCCGCCGGCGGCAGCGAGCTCGCTCCCCCGCTGCTACCCGCATTCGTCTTGGGCTTGGCATTGACAATCTCGCGCATCGCCTTGTCGAGAACGAGCGAAAACTGCCCCGAGCCTGCGAACGCCGTGTCCACCACTGTGCGGAACGCCGCGTAGTGCTCCAGCAGTGCCTCCACATACTTGCGCGGGTTGGACGCTGGCTCATCACCGAGCTTGTCGAGCGCCGCCAGTCCGCGCTCGACCACAAACGCTCCCAGCGCGTCCTGGACCGAGTCAAAGGCTCCGGGCACCCGTGCGAGGAGCGCGTAGCCACGTGCAAGCGCTTTCGCCGCGTGCGACTCGGACGACGAGTCGGCAACCATTGCCGCCACCAGCGGAATGACCTCGCCCTGGAGTGCAGGGAGATGCGCCGTGACAAAGATGTCGGTCAGTGCCGCCGTCACCCGCGGCTCCGACGATGTGTCGAGAAACAGCACCGCCCGCGCAGACTCTTCCGCCATCCGCGTCTCTGCGTGGCTGTAGTAGTCGGGCACCGCATTCTGAGCCAGAAAGTTGGTCGTCTCGGCTGCGTAGTACTCGTGGAGTGCCGCAATGTACGGCAGCTCAATGGTCTCGCTGTAGACTGCGAGCGGCTTGTTGCGCTCGAGCCCGAGCTTGACCATCGACTCGATCGGCTTGACAACAAGCTCGCGCTCGATGGCCTCGCCGTCACGCTCCTTGCGAACTTGCTCCAGGATGGCATACACCAGCCGGTCCTTGAGCGGCGCAAGCACCTTGTCGCGCCACATAAGCAGCGCCAGCTCGTCGATCTTGTACACCTGCTTGCTCGCCGGAACCGGCCCCGGCCTCTTCCACCCGAGCCCTTTCCGCCCGTGCTCTCGTTGCTGCCACCGGCCCCGGCTTTGCCCAGCCTTTCCTCTGCCGTGCTCAGGTAGATCGAGGTGAGGGCGGCACGGGCGTTGTCGAGCCGGCGGGTGATCCAGTTGTCGTTGAGAAAGTTGAAAATGACATGCGACATGATCCGCGAGCCAAGCTCGTACGTATACCACGCCTTGGAGTACTGCTCGAGCAGCGAGTCGGCCGACAGCGCCACAAGCGAGTCAGCAATGCGCGACGCTTCCGCCAAGAGGAACGTCTCCACCCCTACGTACATGTCCGGCGAGTACGACCGCGGATGCGCACACGCCAGCGAGTACACCAGCCGATACAGCTGCATTCCCGACATCGAGTTGACAGCCTCCAACCTCATGATGGCCTTCATAGCCTCAGAGAGCGTAGCCCATGACGTGTCATAGTCCATAGCTCGCGGGTGAAGCGACCCACCCTTGGACGACGACATTCGCCTTCAGCCTCCACAGCCAAACAAGACGTCAGCCAAGCGTACACAGAGAGAGAGATAGAGAAGGGGGACTAACACTCACTCTCACTCTCTCGCACTCTCTCGAACACGTAAATACCTCCTTGCCCTCTTGAGGAAGTGGTGTGGCTTGCCTTCTCACTCGCCTTCCTCCCCTGTCCACTCCCCGCTTGTCAACCCTTTGGTGTGCGCGACCTGTGTGTTCCTTGCCATCTTGCGGCGAGCCATCAATTAATCACCTCAGTTAATCGTACGCCATACAACAGGTCCCGCCGCAAGCCACACCGCCAGCCATCGCACCATGGCCCCATGCCATGACTAGCTAGTCAAGCTCATATCCGATATTCCATCACCCATAATCATCACATCGACGCCCAGACCACCCCCTCCCTCCCTCCCTCCCTCCCTCCCTCCCTCCCTGCCCAACGCTCGCCCAACGCCCGCCCAGTCGCCATCACTCCAGCACCCACACCCGCACACTGCACTCTCGTGCCACACCTCCCCTCCTCCCCTCCCCCTCCCCCCCTCCGCCCCTCCCCCCAGCACAGCACGTGCTGCGGAAGGTACCCTTGTCCAAGGTGGCGGCCGAGTTTCAACCGCTTACGGCGGTCCTTGCCTTTGCCTACCGCAAGGCCTCACGCTGGCTAGGCTGGTCTGCTCCCACCCCTCCCTCCTCCTCCTCCTCCTCCTCCTCCTCCTCCTCCTTTGTCTTCCTCCAGCCACTCTCGCGTGTCTGACTCTGTGGCCGACACACTCACTGTTGGCTCCAAGCGTAGCAGAACTCCTACCTTGCCCAGCGCTTCCCTGGACGCTACTGACACCCACAAGCGCCAGCGGCTGCTAAACACGCCGAGCTCGTCCGCACCGTTGACGGCTTCTCTCTGCTCGCCTATCGGCCGCCCTGCTCAGGTTCCGGCTCTGGATCACTCACTCAGCCGACCGTCTTCGCTTCGCTGGTCGCGACTCGGATCCCGCTCCGTTATGTCGGCACGCTCGCCCTCGTCGCGCCGCCCGATTCTGGACATGCTCGAGGATCGCCGCGAGGCCGATGAGTTTCGTGCCTCGCTAGTGCGACTGCCGTCGTCGCCGCTTGCCTCGGCTGACGCGCCCGACAACGCTGGCCTCGACGACGTCATTGTCATCTCGTCTGACGACGACAACGAGAGCACCGCGCCTGTCACCCACGCTCCGCTGCGTGAGGACTCGGCCTACGCCAAGGCCAAGGCGCTATCGCTGGAGCGGACTCGGCTCCGGCGCGAGGAGCGTACGCGGCTGATGGGTTCCGTCGACGAGCTTGAAGGCGGGCCGAGTAAGTTTGTGGCCCTCATGACCGACCCCAGCCAACCGCGTGACCCGCGGACCCCGAGTCGGATGGATGCCGCGCTGGAGACGGCGCGGAGGCGGCGGCGGTCGTCGCTAGCTGCAGCATCGGGCGCATCGTCGCCGGATGCATCGGCTACCGACTCGTGGCGCTCTGCGCTCCGCATGGCCGAAATCGAGGAGAAGTCCGCTCGCGCTCGCGCCATCGCCGAGGAGCGGGCCCGGCTCGAAAAGTACACCAGCCGCGAGATTGAGGCCGCACTGCGCGGCGACGACGACTCCGGCCCGCATGCCGACGCCCTCCTCTCTGCGTGGTCGGCCAAGCTCGACGATCGCGAGCGCAACATGTTGCGGCAGGCCTTCCGTGCGCCGCCAGCTCAGCAGCTTGCGTGCGTCGGCTCGATCCCAATCACCGGCCACGACTTTGCCTCGCTCGGCCCCGGTGAGTGGCTCAACGACGAGGTCGTCAACGGCATGGTCGTCATGCTGCAGGCCAGGGCCGACGCTGAGGCTGCCGCGGGCGTGGGCCCGCGGTGCTTCTTCTTCAACTCATTCTTCTACGCCTCCATTTACGAGCTCCGCTGCCGGTACAACTACCGCAAGGTCCGCCGCTGGACCAAAAAGGTCGACCTCCGCGACATCGACAAGGTCATTTTCCCGGTCCACCTCGGGACACACTGGACGCTTGCTGTTGTCAATCTCCGCGACAAGCGCTTCGAGTACTACGACGCACTGCTGAGCACGAACCATGCGGCGCTTGACACGATGCGCCGCTGGATCGTCGACGACTTTGCCGACAAGCACTCGATCGAGCTCGACGTCTCACAGTGGACCGACTATGTGCCCAAGGACATCCCTGTCCAGCGCAATGGCTACGACTGCGGCGTTTTTGCGCTCTCGTACGCCAACTTTGTTGCTCGCGACTGCGACCTGGTCTTCGACCAGAAGCACATGCCGCAGTTCCGCAAGCGCATCGCCCTCGCTCTCCTCGAGGGCGAGCTGCCGATGTAATAAATGGCCACAACCCGCCTGTGTCTGGCGTTACATTTACGCGGTCGTCATCGGTGCAAGCAGGCCGGTCGGCGACGCGCTGCGGTCCATGTCGTCCATGCCATCGCCGCCGAGCTCGTCATCGAGCTCGCCGTCGTCGTAGCTGCCGAGCGCAGACTCGCGGGCGGCCAGCTCCTCGGCCGAGACCCGCGTCGACGTGATGCTTGCCGGACGCACGTGCTGCGCCTGGAACGAGCCGACCGGCTTCCGCTTGTGGAGCGAGAGCACAGTGTTGATCGGCGCGTAGCTGGCGGCGTCGCCGTCGACAGTGAGCATGAACAGCTCAGGCGGCGCCCGGGTCTCGTAGTTGAACTCGCGGATCCACTCGAGCTCAGACGGATCGGAGCCGGCAGCAGCGCCGGCGCTCACGTCGTCATCGTCCAGGCGGCGCTGCCGCTTGTTGCTCTTCGGCAGGAGGTACATGACAAACGTGTCGCCGTCGTGCTCGCCGCCCTTGATTACCGCGCCTGCAGGCTCTGCCGCCGGCTTGCCCTGGAACGTCACAATGTTGAGCCGCTCCGAGTCGAGCTCGCTCGACGGCACAATCTCCAGCACACGCTTGGCCTTCATCCCAGGCACCCGAGGATGGACCGGCGCCTTGCCCGCGTCCACAAACGTCGCGTCCACCACGTCGCGCTGCTCCTCGAGCGTCAGCACCCTGTCCTCGCCCAGAGTGTTGAGCGCTGACCGCCCGTGCAGCCGCTCGGGGTTGGCCGCCACACCGGCGTGCACGCCCACAAACTCGTTGCCGAGGTACTGGCCCTTGCGGAGGAACGTCACGTGCGCAAGCTCTGTCGCGTTCTCCTGCAGCGACCGTGCGCCGAGCTCGATCAGCCGCGTGTCCTCGTCCGCCAGCTCCAGCCGGCTCGCCCGTGCCGCAGACGCCTCCGCCGCCTTTTGCACCAGCACGTCCGTCTGCACCGGATCCGTCGACGCCGCCGCCGCAAGATCCTCCGGCCACGCCCCCTCGCGCGGATCAATCAGTGAGGCCCTCGTCTCCACTCCAGCCTCCTTGAGCAGGACCAGGTCCTTGTTGTCGCGCTCGAGCGTCGTCGGCTTGTACGCCGTAAACCGGTCGTCCGGAAACGGATACGCCAGAAAGACCGAATCCACGGGCACCGCCGGCAGATGGTTGCGGAACTTCATCTTGGCCACAAACGACGAGGTCCACAGCGGGTGCTTGGGCCCCTCGTCGACCTCGCCCTTGCCACCATGCCGCCCGCCACGCTCCTTCCTCCCGCGGCCCTTGCTCTCCTTCTTCTTTGCTGACTTCTACACACCCATTCACAGCATTTTCACCGCCACCACACACATGAGCATAACGCAGACACCCTCCTCTATACATACAGTCACTTTGCATCGCCATACCTCCCCTCCTCCTCGCTTCCGCCTCGGCAAGCCGACTCCCCGCCGTGTCGCCCAAGGACCACAGCCGCTGCCCAAAAATATCGAATCCTCCCAACGAGACAGCCAGCCAGCTACCGCCACCCACACACGCAACACACACCGTCCACAGACTGACGACAAGGACGTACTCTGGAGCGGGACGACTCGTTCGGTCCATATGTCGGCGACCGTGGCTCGAACTTGAGGAACGTCCGCTGCATTGGCGCGTGCGTGAGTCGAGTGACCTGGGCCCTTGCGGCAGCTGCTTGCCGGCTGCGCGCGAGAGCAAGTCTGTGGTCAGCACCAGCAGTGCAGGGTCAACCAGCACATCGCATTGGTGAGGGAAGGTGATCGTGGCGAATGACGCTACCGCCGATTCCCACATCCAGCCACGCCGCATGGAGCAACTATGGTCACCAGTAGCCACGCTCCGCCAGGGATGGAGCTCTCCACGCGCTGCCACAGCTACACTGCGGATAGCAGCAGACAACGTCCAGATCAGTTGGTTCATACCTAGCTATATCTGCACCACATACTCCTTTTTTCCCGTCAATGCTCCGCAATTGCCACGATTCATGCCTGCTCGATGAGGTCCTGCTGTCGTCGCCGGTCGCATCGTCCGTTGTGGCCAAATGCGAGCGGGCTACGCGCGGCAGGCCAGAGGGGGGAGGGAGGGACACCCAACTATCTGTAGCAACAAAGATGGCAGCTGAAGCAAAGGCACTCTCCGCAGGCCACCAGAAGTGGATGATTGAGACTCTCCGTGAGTCCGGTGGCTCGTGCACGTACGAGAAGCTTGTCGAGGTCGGTGAGGAGAAGCACTGCGACACGGTCGGTGCTCAGCTCAAGATTCTCAAGAAGCGTGGCGTGATCAACTTTGAACAGATGTTCCTCATGTATCCCATGCACAAGGATGAGATTGTCACCCTTGTCAATGACCCGGACGCATAGTTGGTGCCATTACTACTACTACTACCACCATCGTCTTCAATGTCTGTTCATGTCCCTCATTGTCCCGCTCTCTTCTCCTTTCCTCGCTCGTTTCTCGGACAACGACCAATCGTTTCTTTGGCCACCCGCCACACCCACGCAACCTCTTGCTCACTCGCTCACTGTCGACCGCCCATCATCGCTCGTCGCTCCTTGCTGACACTGAGCTTTGCGCTCGGCATGCTTGCCTTTGACTGTTGTTCTTCTCGGGCCTGATCGCAGCTCTTGGGGGTCAAGAATCGTCCATGATAAATCGTCATTATTCTCCATCGCACCATCTGCTGCATTGCATCGCCACCGTGCCAACCACCGCCACCTGCATGCCTGCGACCGACACAATGTAGCCCGGCACCGATGGCCAACAACTCTTCCAGCACAACGTCGCGGACCAGCGCCTCGACCCAATCCCGATCATTCCCCCAGCACCCCCCCCCCCGCACCATCTACCCACCTCTCCCTTTGGATCCACCATCCGATGGACCACCTCACCCCCCCCCCATCCCCATCCCCGACTACCTGCTATTTGCCGGACTGTCTCCAGCTGGCTGCAGTTGACGCTGAGCTGACTGTCTGCAGCGAAAAAGGCAGGACACTCGCCCAACGACCACATTTCTCCATTTCGCCTGAAACCGAGACCTCGCCTGTACGCACGCACGGTCCGAGCCCGCCAGCCATAGCCATGTCCGACACCTCAGACTATCCTCCTCTCGCTCTACCGAGCACATGCAATACACCAGATGCTTGTGTGGGGGGCTCGAGAAGGAGAAGCGAACATGTGCTGGTTTGGAGTGGGGGGGGGAGGGGGGAGGGGGCGGCGGGGGGGGCAGTGGCCGTGTGAGGGCGTGTCGCCCGTCGAGAGAGGAAGAAGAGCGACACCGTGCTCCTGGCTACTACACCTGCGTCGGGCAGTGATGTATTTCCCAGTGTTTTGATTTTTAAACAGAGGATGGAAGGATGAAGGGGAGAGGAGGGAGAGAGGGGGGGGACTCATGGATGAAGGACATGTACGTTTGGTTGTAGTTTAGTCATGGCTGCTTCTGTTCACTACGCGGAGATGGAGATGCTCGAGAAGAAGCTCGAGATGCTCGAGGAGACGCTGGATTTTGAGGAGGAGGAAGAGGACGACGATGATGATGGTGATGACGATGACGACGATGACGATGATGATGGCTCTGGCTCGACTGAGGTTGCTGATGATGACGACGACGACGACGACGAGGAGGAGGATGCCGACGACGACGACGACGACGAGGATGCCGACGAGGACGACGACGAGGAGGATGCCGACGAGGACGACGACGACGAGGAGGATGTCGACGACGACGACGACGAAGACGAAGACGATGCCGATGAAGACGACGAAGACGACGAAGACGACAACGACGACGACGACGACGACGACGACGACGACGACAACGACGACGAAGTCCTGATCGAGGAGGACAAGGGCGACGACACCGACGCCAATGCCGACGCTGACGCCAACGACGACAATGACGACGACGACGACGACGAGGTCGAGGCTGAATCCGAGGCCGAAGCCGAGGCCGACGAGGTTGATGAGGTCGAGGCCGAGGTCGAGGCTGCCAACGACGCTTCGTTTGACGACGTCAACGCGACGTCAGCCGGCGCCCGCAAGGTCGCGCAGCTCCGCTCGCGGATCCGCGAGTCCAAGCTCCGCCACGAGCAGGAGCGCGAGGAGAAGAGCAAGCGGACGGCCGCCAAGAAGCAGCAGGAGAAGGAGAGCCAGGACAAGAAGGAGAGCCGCGAGGAGAGCCAGGTCGGCGAGCTCGTCGACGAGGCCATCAACTCGAAGTTCCCTGTCAAGGCCCTCGTCCAGCTCTCGCGCGAGTACCGCATCGGCTCGCCAGCCTGGTTTGCCGTCCGCGAGGCACTCCACGCCACCGTCGAGGAGACTTGCGCCGCGTAGTGCGCCTATCTGCTTTGTTGTGTATTCCTGTGCATGCGCTCACGCCATAAACCTGCTCTTCCACCACCACCGTCTCACTCGGCTCGCGCCGCCAGCCCCGCCACTGTCGACTGGAGTTGGGCCTCCTCGCCGGGCCGTGGCGCCGAGAGCGAGCGCGAGACCGTGTACAATCGCGCCCCGCCGCGCGTCGTGCCAACGCTCACCACCGTCGGCATCTCGCTATTGGCGGCAATGGCCGTGATGCCGGCGTCGAGGACGTGCGCCACCGCAGGCGTCTCGGGCTCAGCACCAAGATCAAAGACCAACAGCGCACCCGACGAGGTGCCGGCAAAGACCACCATCGGTCGCAGCGGCGAGAACTGGACCGCCACTACCGCCGAGCCGTCTGGCGCGTACCGGGTCATCAGTGCCTGCTGGGTGCGGAGGGCGTGGAGCCGAACGCCACCGTCGGCGGCACCAGAGACAAACACGTTGGCCGCAAACGGCGAAGCCGCCAGCGCCAGCACAGGCGCCGGTGGCGAGTGGAAGGCAAACACAACCGGCGAGACCCCGTATGGGTCGTCCGGGTACTCACACGATGCTGCCGGCTTGGCGAACGAGCCCAGCAGCAGCGCCGGATGCCTCGTCAGCGAGCCCTGCAGCAGCGCTCCGGTCTCCGACGCCACCAGCAGGTTGCCGGACTCGAGGTCAGCCGCCGCCAGCGCCAGCGCCGAGCCGCCGAGCGGACACAGCTGCGACCCGAGCCGTGAGGTGTGGAGAGTGAACCCGAGGACCGCCGTCTTTGACAGTGACGCCGCATCCCACATCAGCAGCCGTCCGCCAGCACAGAGCGAGACCAGGTGCCCGCCTCCGCTCTGCGCCTTGCTCCGGCTGCCCACCACTAGCCACTCGAGAGCCACCACCGGCTCAGTGTGGACGCCCGTCGCCACGACCGCTCCGCTGCTGCTGTCGCTCGCGCCGCCGCCGACGTTCCCGCCGCTACCGGCTGCCAGTGCATCAACCACGCTGACCTGCCCGGAAAACGTAGCGTACGCGAGCTTGCCCGCGGCGTGCGGGTGGAACGCCAGCGCTCGAACGCATGCCCGGGTCCTCACCAGCACCTCCGGCACCTCGCTCTTGCTTCGCGAGCGGTTGAACGCCCACACTCCAATCGCAGCCTCATGCTCGCACCACGCGCTGTGGCCCGAGCTGCCGTACCCCACAGCTACCATCGAGCCCGTAGCCGAGAACGCGACCGCGCTTACGCCGAGCGCCACAAACTCTGCCGCAACCAGCTCCTTGTCGAGCTCAATGGCGTCGACCTCATCACGCGACGACGCTCGTGCATACGCCGCAAAGACCGAGTCCGTCAGCGCCTCGTCAAGCGCCTCGTCCATCAGGCTCTCAACCTTGAGGAGAAACGCTGCCAGTGAGTCCACACGCGAGTCACTGTCGCGCAACGGTGCTGCCGCCGTCGACAACGCTCGCTCGAGCTCGATCTCCGAGAGCGGGAGAAAGTCGACTGGCGACGTCTGCAGCGCCACCGAGACAACCGGTGCATTGGACGAGCCTTGATCACGAGCACGAGTCGAAGACATGCTGCCAAAGCCGCCACCTTGGCCATCCTGATCGTGTCCGTCATTGCTGCTCGACTCGTCTGAATCCGATCCGTTGTACTCCACCTGAAGACCGAGGTCATTGCCCGATGAGACTACCAATGGCAGTCTCCTTGGCGGGAGACTCACATCAGTGCCAACCGATGCATGTGCATGCGTGATGGCTATTGTCTGTTGCCGAACATTACGATGTCCGTCCTTCTTGCCCTTCTTCCCGCCCTCGCCTCTTCCTCTACCATTCCCCTCACCACCCGTAATAGACAGCATGACCACAGCTCCGTCAGAGAAATTCGCGCTCATACTCAATGTCCAAGCCCTGCACCTATGTCGCTATGTACAAGGCCGTAGAGTGAGATGCCTCTCGCCAATCTCGTCGCCCGCTATGGTAAGTACGGCGGTTGCGGCTGTCGACGAGCTTCGCCGGCGTTTTGGCGCTCACTACCACACGCATCCATTACTCGTGACTCCGCCATGGGAATACACATGCTGGGCCAACGTGCGATTTGGTCGAGCAATACTTGCTCTGATTGACATAGTTACACGTAAGGTGGGAATGCAGGGAGGGCCTGCAGCATGGAATCAGCCACAGTTTGCGCCTCGATCTTGAGCTCCCAGCTCAAGCCCCGAGCTCAAGTTCGACTACGAGCCTGCACTCGCCCTCGCAACCACGTGCCGACACCTTGCTGGATATAGGCGCTAGTAACCGATGTGCAATCTCATCTGTTTTGCCAAGCTCATCGCCCAAGCGATGCGCCCCATGGACTGCTCGGCGCTGGTCAGTGCCCAAACCAGACCGAGCCAAACCCGAGCCTGCACCTCACCTCACCTCACCTCACCTCACCTCACCTCCCCCACCCCACCCCACCTCCCCCGACACACGCACACATCTACATACACAACCGCCCATGACCAGTACCCCTCTCAACGACGTGCTCGAGCAAGTCCGTGCACTGCTCTCGCACCAGTCTGGTGAAGAAGCAAGTGAGAGGTCTGTGGCCCATGCTGGTGAAGTCGCCCTCCTCACCCCAGGCGAAGTCTCTGGATCTCTTGATGCTGCTGGCGCTCTCATTGTGAGTGTCGGAAGGTCGCATCTCAAGCATGTAGTGGCAAAGTTTGTCGACTTGCTCGACTCGTTCCCCTCGCAAGCTGGTGCTGCAGACTCGTTTACAGGCGCAGCTCCATCGACTACCGATCGCAAGGAGAACATCGAAGACGTGGCCGCCGATGGCTCGCCGGAAAGTTGGCTCCTCGCCACTCTCACTGCGCTCCTGGCCGATGCTGCTCATCCTGTCAAAGGCGGCAAGCGCGGTCTTCGTGCTCTGGCAGAGCTCGATTCTCCAGTCTATGATGCTTTCTTTGTCCGTCTCCACTTTGCCTGCTCTCCCGCCGTCCGCCATCACGCTGCCCTCGGCCTCGCTGCCCTCGCAGCTGCCGATCTGGGCAAGGTTGTCAAGCTCTTCACCGACGCTCTGGGCGCCATGGACAAGAACACCCAGCGCGCGTACGTCTCGTACCAGCGCGCCGTCGCTCGCCTTCCGTTCTCTTTCGCAACACAGGCTCGGACTAAGACTACCCTCGAGTACCTGGCCATCCTTGCCGCCCGCATGCCGAGCATTGACCGTGGTGTCCTCCGTGAGGCTATCTGCTCCTCGCTCACCACCATCTTCACCACGCTCATCCGCGGCCATCCGACTGCAGTCGCCGGTTACTCGACCGAGTACATCGCCTTTGAGAAGTCGGTCCACGCCCCGCAGTTCTGGGACCTCTTTGCCAACATCTACAAGACCGTCACCAAGTGGGCCAAAAAGTCCAAGCACATCCTCTTTTCCATCGCGCTGCTGCAGGCCATGACCACCCTGGCCAATGCTGCCTTTTACTTTCCCACTCGCGGTGAGGACTGGCTCGCTCTCGCCGCCTCGGCGCTCAAGGACAAGGCCCATCGTCTCGACGTCCTCGGCTTCATCCTCGACTACTTTACCACGCTCAACCCGGTCTTTGTCCACGACCAGATTCCCATCTTCCAGCGCCAGCTCGCTGTCATCGTGCCCAAGTTCCTCTCCAAGGCTGCAAAGAACCTCAGCTCTGAAGAGCTCGAGCTTGTGGTTGCCATTCTCGTCGCCATCGGCAAGCACCACGTCGACTCGCTCCTGCTCCATGTCACAGAGGCGCTCTCGCTGCCCAACTACCCGCTTGCCGGCCAGGTCGCCGTCCTCCGCGCTCTTGGCTCGCTTGCCCGCGATGTGCCTGCAGCGCTCGAGCCCATCAACACCTCGCTCTTCCCGCTCATCCAGCCCTTCATGTCCGAGGAGCGCGACGTGTCCAAGGCTACCGACCTTGCCCTTGTTCGCGCCGCCCTTCGCTGCTTCCCGGTCATCCACGACCCGGACCCCGCCCGCAAGAAGGCCGTCGTCAAGCGCCTCACCGCGTACGTCCTCCACTCGGACCGCGAGCTTCACTCGACTGCTCTCGTCGCTCTTTGTGACTACATGCTCCTCTCGCCGGCACACAACCTCATTCCGGTCGTCATGGCGCTCTCGCGCGCCCTGCTCGATCTCTCCGCCGAGCTCGAAGAGACCACCGTCCTCAAGGTCATCAACAACATCATCACCGTCCTCACCTCGTTTGCTCAAGCCCTCGCCGACGATGCCGTCCGCACTGACGCCGTCGAGCTCGACGCCTGGCTCGAGCTCCGCACTCGCATCGAGGGCATGGCGCTGCTGTGGTACTGCCACTCGGACCCGATCATCCATATGGAGCTCTCGCGCCACTCGCGCTCCTTGACTCGCCGCCGCTGGCGGCCTTTGAGGCTGCCGCAGCCGACACTGCCCCGCCTCGCCTCGCCGCCCTCTTCCTTGACGCCAATGGTCTGCCGCGCACCGACTTTGACGCCCACACCGCCGACGCGGACCCCGGCCAGCTCGCCCGCCTCGCTGCGCCGCGGACCGCCACCCCCTGGTTTCCGGGCATCACCGCTCTGCTTGTCTCGCCGAGCCTCTGGGACCGCTACTCGGTCTGCGTCTGTTGGGCATGGTGCCGGCTGGTCGAGCGGCTGACCGGTGTCCACTCACCGGACGACTTTGACTCGCGGCTCTCGCTCGGTGCCGACCATTTTGTCGGCCTCACTCTCTACATGACCATGGCGCTCCGCTTCCCGAAAACGCTTGACGACGAAGAATCGACCTCGATGAGCCTCCATCTCGTCGAGCGCATGGTCTTCTACGTTCTCAAAAACATGCTTTCGGCAGACGATGCCCGCGCTCTTGCTGGTGCAAACGCCGTCTTCAACGTCCACCCCTCCGGCTGGGAGTACGCCCTCAAGTCGATCAAGGCTGCCGTCGCCGCCAAAGAAGCCAAGGCCGACGCCAAGGCCGACGCCGGCTCCGGCCCACCACCGTCGCAAGCCGACCAGGAGGCCGCCGCCGCCGCCGCCGCACGCGCCGCCGCACGCATTGGCGTCCACATTTCGTACTACTCACTGCCGGTGGTCACCAGCCTCCTCGCCGCCCTCCTCGAGTCGCTTCCGGACGATGTCTTTGCTGTCAACGTGCCCATGTACGCCCTCTATCACGACGTCATTCAGGTCTGGCTTGATCCGGCCCACCTGCAGCTCTTTGACCCAGCCTCGCTAGCCACCAAGGCCTCGGCTGCCTCGCTTGTCCGCCAGTACATCCTGCGGACCGATGGCCTGCAGGCCCATGCTGCCCGCGCTACGCTCTCGTCGGCGGGCATTGTCTCGCGCCCACGCTCGCTTTTCCAGTTTCTTTACAACATGTTGTACCCAGGTGAGCTGACCGCTGCCACGCCATCGGTGAGCGGTGCATCAGCTGCCGCTGATCCCGACGCCACCCGTGCCTCGCTCGCTGCTGCTGCCTCTGCACATGCCCGCTCCCGCGCTGAAGGTGGCGCTCAGAGCGGCTCACCTGACGCTCAGGCCCTCGTCTGTCGCGTCGTTGCCGCCGTCTCCGCCATGCTCCAGGTCGGCCCGCTTGGCGACAGCCAACTCGAGAAACATGTCCTCAAGTTTGTCTCAGACCATCTCTACGCCCGCGGCGAGATAGGCTACACTCAGGCCGTCTGCGAGGAGGCACTCATGTGGTTCCTCCGCCACAACCCTCGTCACGCCCCGCTCTTTGTCAAGTTTGTACTTGCCGATCGCCCCTACAAGGCTGCTGCTGCCGCCGACAAGTCTGTGTCGAACCGCTCGTCGCGCGGCAAGTCGCCACAGCAGGCCGACGGCGTCCCGCCGCACTGGCCGGCGGCCTTCAAGATCGCCTCGTACAACGCGCTGGTAACCAACATGGCCCACGCACCATCGGAATGGCTCGCCCGCGTCCCAGTCGCCAAGCTCATGGTTGTTGTCCTCATCACCCTCTCGTCGCCGCATGTCCTCATCCGCCAGATTGCGCTCCGCCTCGCAGTTCTCCTCGCCAAGGCTTCGCGCAACGGACTGGTTGTACTGTGGACCTCCGACGGCCCGTGCGACTCGTCGCCGGCTCTGGATCTCGACGCCGGTCCCGCGCTCCCGCTGGACGCCGGTAGCTCGGAAGAGGCCTCGGCGTATCTTGAGGCTGCGGTGCGGTACGCCGCAGCGCTCGCAGAGCGTGCGCCCAAGCTCACCGCACCACTTCTTGTCGAGCTTATGGAGTGGCATGCTCCGGTTGCGCACGCCGTCGAGCTCGGCGGCAACGGCCCGGCCGGGGCGTACGCCCGCATGCTCCGGACCTTTGCCCCGTTTGCAGGCACTGTCCCGCGCCTTGTCCGCGCCGGCGTCCTCGCCTCGACTCAGGACGTGTGGGCCATCCTTGCTTCGCTCTTTGCTCTCACCAAGGCTGTCCTGCCCTACGGTCGTGCCCTCGACTTTGCGCTGCAGGAGCTGTGGTGCCTTGCGGTCGTCGAGCACACCGCAGGCATCGGCAGTGGCGGCGACTCGCGCGCGCAGCCCGCCACTCCAGGCTCGCCGGCCTCGTACCGCGCCCGCGCCGCGGCCCCAGGCGCAGTCGTCGCTGTCTTTGCCAAGTTTCTGCTCGCGCGAACAGCGGCGCCAATGCTGACCTCCGACGCGCCGTGCGGCATTGCGCCGGCAACAACCTCCGGTTCCGCAAAAGTTGACAACGCCGCAGCCCGCGCCGTCGCTCACTACCTGGCGCGGTCGTCGTCGGCGGCGTTGTTTGTCGACGCGTTGTTGGAAACGGTGCTGGCGCCCGGCCGCGAGCTTGTGCCTCCAGGTGCCGAGTCGACCGCGGTGGCCTGGGCCGAGTGGTTGGCGAGCGTCCCGTCGCGCGAGGGCACCGACCTTGTCACTCGCGGTCTGCTCTTGCTTGGTGCAGTGGTGGCAACAGAGTACGGCATGGCCTCGATATTGCGTGCGCGTGTCCACCTGCTTCACCTCTGCCTCCTTGTCCGCGGTGTGCTGGACGCTGCCGACGCCGGTACCGAGGCCGAGCCGCTTGCGCGCTCGCTGCACTACTCGGTCGACACCATCATTGCCGTCCTGCTGAAGGCTCAGCTCGCGGCGACTTCGGCGATGGCCGACGTGGCGGCCGAGCTTGCTTGGGTCGACGCGGTCTTTCTCCCGCCGTCAGCTCTGGCGGCCCGGACCTCGCCGTTGGCCGTCGAACCCCGCCCTGGCTCTGCCGCAGCTTCGGGTTCCGGGCCAGCCGCCACCATTGTGGCCGTGGTTGACAAACTCCGCGCCATCAGTGAGCGCGGCAAAGATCTTGTCGAGGACTGGGCTGACGCCGCTATGCAGTGGGGACTCTCGCGGTTCTGTGCGCCGCTGGCGGGTCTCTCCCTCAAAGTGTACGCGACGCTGGTTGCCGGCGAGAGCGAGGGGGTGCTTGCTGACGACGTTGCGCCCGCAGTCCTTGTGCTCGGCCATGTGCTCGCCGACGAGATGGAGCAGTGGCGGCCGCCGCGAAGTGCAGAGCTTGGCGACAAGCAGGCGGTGTGCGCGGCGGCCGTGGCTGGCCTGGTTGCGCTGGTCGGCTGCGGGCCGGAGCCCGGCGCGAGTGCGGCCGTGGTGGGTGCCATCGGCTCGTTTTGCGTCTCAGCTCCGTTTACCGCGCTCTTTGCAGCCGGTCTGCAGCTGGTCGGGTCTGCCCTCAAAGTGGCCACTGTGGACGACCACACTGTTCTCGACTATATGGTCTCGCAGTGGGGCCCGGACGCGGCGGCGTATCTCTCCATCGGCCTCCTCAACGGGCTCTCGGTCTCTGCGCTCCAGGACCAAACCATGGAACTGATGGCGTCGCTGTCTGCGCAGCTGGGCCCGGGCGACGACGGATCAGAGGACGCCCCGCGGATGTTTGTTGTGGCGCTGTTGGTCCATGCGGCGCGGGCCATGGCCGAGCGCTCGCAGCTCAAGAGCTCGGCGTGGGTTGAGCGTGCGACGGCGCTGACACGGGCCACTCTTGGCGCCAAGAGCGTTGTGGGCGAGAGCCTGACGAGGCTGCTGGGCGAGTGGCAGAGCGGCTCTGCCGATGATCCCGCGTTTGCCAACGCGCTCCTCGACGCGGTGGCGCAGCTCTGGCCGGGCTACGCCACGTACGGCTTTGTCCTTGTTGTTCTCCGCCAGCTAGCCGAAGACGGGCCGGTAGGCTGGCGCTGGCCGGTCCTCCGGCTCCTTCACGCCGCGCTTTCTCGCTACGCCCACTTTGAGCTTTCGCCGAGCCAGTACGAGGATGTGGCCGAGCTTGTCGTGGCCAACTCGTTCTCGCACGACTCGCGAATGCACGACATCCGTGCCGAGCTTCTCCGCTACCTCTTCCGCGTCCTTCCTGACCTAGACACCGACGCGGTGCCTGGGCGGGTCTTCAACTTTGTCCGCGCCACCCCACTCGAGTACACGCCCGGCTGGTCGTCGGCCGACGCTGCACTCCTGCCACACTTTAGGTACAACGCCTCGCTCGCAGGTGTCCTTCAGCTCCTCGGCCCGTACCTTGGCTCGCTTGATGCCCGGCTGCAGCAGCCGCGCGGCGTGCCTGTTCCGGACGTCAAAGTTGCCGAGACCACAACTCGTGCCAGGCGTAAGGAGAAGGGGAAGGCCAAGGCCAAGACCAAGGGTAAGGGTCTGGGTAAGAGACAGCGCAAGGACAAGACCGATGCTGAGATGGTGCCCGAGACTGTGGCTGGCGCCGATGCCGAGGCAAAGACCGAGGTGGCGGTGGGTGAGGCAGAGGCAGGAGCCGAGGCAGAAGCCGAGCCAAAGGCCGAGGCAGAAGCCGAGTCGGAAGTCGAGGCGGGAACGAACATCGAGTCTAGCCCCCAGCTCGGAGCCCATCCTTCCTCACATCCATCCGACGATCACGAGCTGGGACACACGTCAGACGACCACGAGTTGGGACACGACTCGGGATCCAGCGACTTTACGTTCTCGGACGAGTAGTGCGTAGGCAGCGGGTCACGAGCGCGGGATGGTGAGCTTGGCCGAACCGAGCTTGTCCCAGTTCTGGCCATACTCGTCCATGCGGCGCTTAAGAAAGTTGGTGACATGAACACGATCCTTGTGGAGGATAAAGGTGGGCAGATCAAAGTTGGTGATGATGCAGGTGCGGATGCGAGCGAGGAGGTCCTTGACGAGGCAGCCCTTAAAGGAGGTCTTTGAGATGTCGTTGAGATCCCCGTACACATACTCGCAGACAGAGACAATGATGGACGAGAGGCCGGCGGCATGGTTCTGCAGCGGCGACGGGATGGCGGCGCGGTGGTGATCGAGGATGGCGTCCGACGGCATGCGCGTCGGGGGGAACTCGATCGAGAACGAGCAGACGAGGAGGACGAGCTCAGACGGCAGCTGCGAGACAATGTCCAGAAAGGTGAGCAGGTCGTGGTTCTCAGTTGTACGCGCCAGCTCTTGAGTGAGGCCGTTGTCAATGATAATGCGGATGGTGCAGAAGAGGTCTGCCACGGCCGAGACGCCCGGGTCGAGGTTAAGGTACCGCACATCGTTGTAGTATGTGCCTGCGTCGCGCCCGCCAAACAGAATGCCACGCGAGCCAACAATGGAAAAGGTGTGGGTGCAGCGGACAGCCGGAATGGGACCCTTGGTCACCACTTCGAGCCAGCGCATCGAGCGAAGGTCGAGGATGTGGACGTCATTGAACCGCTCACCGCCGCCGTGGTCGCCGCCAAAGACCACGGCCTTGGCGCCCCACAGCGCGACCGAGTGGTACGACCGAACCGACGGTTGGCGCCCGTGGGTCTTGACCCGCGACCACGTCCGCGTCTCGAGATCGAGCGCGTGGACGTCGTTGTAAAACTCGACACCAGAGCCACCCACAACGTAGTACACGTTGCGGTAGACAAAAGCGCACTGGCCGTAGCGCCGCGCCGGTGCCTCCCCACTCGTCTCCAGAACGGACCACGTCAGCGTGTCCAGATCGAGGACTTCGAGCTCATTCCCGAAGAAGACGTTGGCGTGGCCCTTGCCGCCAAACAGGTATGCCCGCGAGCCGACCGTAGTAAACGAATGGCCGTAGCGAGGCATCGGCTGGTCGCCGCCGGTCTCCAGCCGCCGCCACTCGGGCTCCTCGGGCGAGGTGAGGTCGAGCTCATAGAGGTCGTCGCAGTACGAGTGGTCAAAGCCGCCAAAGAGCAGCAACTTCTCAGGCGTCCACCGCGCGATGGCGTGGTACGACCGCGCCGACGGCACGTCGCCGCTCTGGGTCACCCGCCGCCACCGGTTGGTCTTGGGATTGAGCGCCGAGAGGTCCTGGAACCGCCGCCCGCCGCCGCCGTCGCCGCCCCACAGGTACGCCTCGTCGTTGTGAATGAACATGACATGCCCGTCGCGCTGGTCCGGTGTGTAAGACGTCGCCATCCACGCCATGATGTCGAGCCGGAGGACCTGTGTGTCGTTATAGTACGTCCCGCCATGCCCGCCCACCACGTACGCCTTGGCCCCGATGACCACCATCGAGTGAGCGTGCCGCTCGCCCACAAACGAGCCGTCGATCGAGAATGGGAGCCACATCATCGAGTCGTGCCCGAGTGAGAGGACGTACACGTCGGCATTGCACATCGTCCCATGACGCCCGCACACAATGACCGCGAGGTCGTGCCACACCGCCGCCGTGTGCCCGAACCGCTTCGACGGCCCGTCGCCATCGGGCGTAATCCGCCGCCACACCATGGTCGGCAGGTCGAGGAGAAACACGTCGGTCTCGGCGTTGCCGCCAAAGGTAAACGCCGTGTCCTTCCACACCGTCATGGTGTGATAGCACGACGCCGGCGGTCCGTTGCCGCGCGCGCTCACCTCCCGCCAAGTCATTGTCTCCAGATTGAGCACAAACATATCGTCCACGGCCCCACCATTCATCGTCTGCCCGCCCATCACAATCGCCTGGTCGCCCCACAAGCACATGGTGTGTCCGTACCGCTTCGACGGCACGTCGCCGCGCACACGCGCCAGCGTCCATGTCATTGTCAGCAGATTCAGCAGCCGCACGTCGTTGGTGTGCGTGTCGTCGTAGCCGCCAAACACCACCGCAAAGTGCCGCCACACCACCATCGCATGGTACGACAGCGGTGGCGGAAAGTAGCCGTCCAGCGACGGCTGGCAGCACACCTCCTTCCATCGCATGGATTCTGGAGCAGGCCATGATACCACACGCCGAGCCGACGACCATCGCCACACCACGCCAACCAAACCAGCCATCATAGCCACCATGCAACCACCACCACATCACGCCACCACACCCACGCCACCACAACCACGCCAAAATCCATCATCATCGCCATCCCGCCCCACCCCACCCCATGGTCATCATCACCATGACCATCGCACACCCCGCCAACAACCCAGAATAAGGAAAGCGGGAGAGCGAGCGGAAGCCGAGCCATGCCGTGCCGACCCGAGCCGAGCCGGACAAGCGAAAAGCCAAATGTAGCCGAACGAGCGAGACATAGAGAAAGGGAGGAGGGAAACATGACACACATACGGGTATGTAGATGGTGAGTGGTAGAGGGGGGGGGGGAGGAGGAAGAGGGAGGACGGGGGAGGACGGGGGGGGGGGGGGAGGGGGGAGGTAGGCGGCGGTCGGGCGGTGCGACCCTTTTCGCCGAAAGCACGCGTGTCGCTGACGACCGACGAGGTCACAGGCCAATGGCGAGGTTGCAGGCATGTGAGGGGTGAAGGGGGGGGGGGGGTATGGGTGTAGGAAAGAGGAAGAACATACCGGTGTCCATGAGGAAGACATCGTTGTAGCGGACACCACGACCACCGTCACCTCCAAACAGCAGCGGCTGGTTGTTCCACACACCCATGGCAGAGCCTTTACGAGCTGATGGTACTCCATCAGTCTCTACAGGATCCCACTCTACCATAATGTCTGCACTACGTCCATGGGGCGCTTGCTCAGGCCCAATGGACGCATCCAGCTCACGCCCATGTGAAGCCATCGCGACAAGTGTGTCCCGCATCCCCTCCCAACACTGCCCGACCCCACCTTTGAGCTCCGTCAGCCGTCTGTCCCGGTAACACCCCCCCTTCCACCAGCCAATCGAGACATGCTCCACCATTACATCGCACCGCCCATTTCCCTGTCACTTTTCCACGACCGCCTATCTTGCGGCTCAAAAATATGCACAGCCTTCGCGAACACTCAACGAGACCATCGAATGACTTGCACTCCATCGCCAGCCAGCCATAGCTAGCCAGCCATAGCTACTTGGTCGCGAGGTACTCGCTCAGATCGACAGTCGACGGCGCGCCGGTGAGCAAGTCACGCCCGCCGCCGGCCTTGGGAAAGGCGATCACGTCGCGAATTCCGGTGTCGAGAAGCGTTGCCATGAGGCGGTCGATGCCGAGCGCAACACCGCCGTGCGGCGGCGTTCCGTGGCCGAGCGCACGGAGGAGGTGCCCAAAGAGCGCATCCGGCTCTGTCACGCCGAGCACATCGCGGAGCACTGCCCGCTGCAGCTCGGGCTGGTGGATCCGGATCGAGCCGCCGCCGAGCTCCGCCCCGTTGAGCACCAGGTCGTAGCTCTGCGCCCGGACTTCAAGCAGCTGCTTCGTCTCGCCTGTCGCCTTGTACGCCGCCATGCCCTCCGCAAGCAGCTCGACGTCGTCCACGTGCGGCGCGGTGAACGGGTGATGCGCCGACGCGATCGCGCCAGAGCTGGCGTCGACCTCGAACAGAGGAAAGTCGGTGATCCATGTAAAGTTGGTCGCCGAGTGCGCCACAGGCTGACTCACCCCCGCCTCGGCCGCCATCTTCAGTGCGTGGAGCCGGAGCTTGCCCAGAGTCGGCCGCATCGCCTCGGGCGCTACCACCAGCGCGTCGCCCGCTTCGGCTCCAAAGGTCTCGGCCAGCCGCCCAAGGCTGGTCTCGCTGCCGCCAAGAGCCAACACCTTGTTCCGTGCCGCCACCGCGTCGTCGCTAGGCACACCCAGCACGTATGCGCCCTTGCCCATCTCGACGTCGCCGTCCGGCCGCGCCACCTCGCCCAGCTTGCGCTTCGATAGTGCGCCCGCAAGCTTGGCAACACGGAACCCGACGAGCCCATCGGCAGTCTGCAGCAGCGCCTCGCGCGACCGCATATCCGGTTTGTCCGACCCGTAATCGGCCATCGCTTGTGCGTAGCTCACCCGCGGGAACGGATGCTGCAAGCCAGACAGTGCCGACGCGTCGGCGGCGAGCTCCGCAAGCTGCGGCCGGTGCCCGGCTGCCCGCCGCAGCGACGCCGGCACGCCGGCACTCACCACCCGCTCGATGAGTCCTTGGATGTCGCCAGCAGTGACAAACGAGGCCTCGATATCCAGCTGGGTAAACTCGGGCTGCCGGTCGGCCCGCGAGTCCTCGTCGCGGAAGCAGCGCGCAACCTGGTAGTACCGATCGATGCCGGCGCTCATCAGCAGCTGCTTGTATTGCTGCGGCGACTGTGGGAGGGCATACGCCGCGCCACGAACTGCCCGCGCAGGCACCACAAACTCACGCGCGCCCTCAGGCGTCGACTTGAACAGAATCGGTGTCTCCACCTCAACAAATCCCTCGCTCTCCACCACGCTCCGCGCGGCCGAGAGAAACGCAGCTCGCGCGAGCAGGTTGCCCACCAGCTCCGGCCGCCGCAGGTCCAGATGCCGGTTCGCCAGCCGCAACGCTTCAGCCGGCAGCGGTGCGTTCTTCTTGGCCACCAGTGACATCGGGAGCTCCTTCGCTGCCGCCGCCACCGTCACAACCTCCTCGGCCTTGGCATGGATCTCCAGCTCGCCGATCGCATTCACCGCACTTGTCCGCCTCTGCCGACTCGGCCGCGCTTCGATGCGCCCTTTCACTTGCACCACAGACTCGAGTGGCGGCAGTTCGTCTGCGCTTCCGTCGACCACAACCTGAATCACGCCCTCACGATCGCGAACAGTTGCAAACGCCGTCGCCGGTCCAGCTGGACGGACACCAGCCAGCCAGCCCGTGACCGACACCTCCGACCCGAGCTCTTCCTCTGCCAGTCCAGGAATATACTTCTTGCTGCTACTCATTCTACGCCAGACATGGCTCCATGCCCTTGTCACTCGCCCGCCGAGCATCTCTCGTGTCGCGTAAAGTGGCCGCTGACAAAGCTTGAGTCACTCGCCACAAGCTCGCCACTGGTGGGATCGATTCCCCCAACCCGGGCCGGGATGACTTGGCATCACATCCGACCCATCGGTAGCCATCCGCATCGTCATCACATCCACCACACAGACGACATCCATAACATTACCACCGCTACGACTACAGTATCCCTCGCAGTGACGGCTGGGCATCGATGGCATGGATGGCACGGAACTGAGCCTCGCTGCCGCTCACAACTCATCTCCACGCAACCACACACAACACCACAACCAACCACGTCACTCTCCCACTCGACCTCGATATTCTTGCCGTGGCCAATGGCATCTACTCACCTCGGTCAACCATGCACTTCTCCCAGTCTCGCCTCTTTCAGCATCATCATCATCATCATCGTTAGCATCATCATCGGCACCATCACAGCCACTGGAGGCACGGGTGCAGACATGGATGACCCGCGCCCTGTGCTATCCGTCATCTGGGTAGCTCCGTTTGTACATGCGTGTGGATATGGAACCGAGGCGCTGGCTACTCTTCGGGCCATCGCCGCTGCTGCTGCCATGCTCGATGGCCGAGTCGAGCATGAGCTGGTCGTCGGCGCTCTCCATGGTGGTCTTCCGCTCGAAGTCGAGCACCTCGCCCGCCTCGACAATGACGAGGCCGTGTTTCTCATGGCTGCTCTGCAGCAAGCTGAAGTCATCCGTCGCTCGCATCGCCCTCGATCATCCCGCCTCGTCATTGTCTGCCATCTCCCGCCACCGCTGTGGGCGACCTGCTCAGAGCTAGCAGACGAGACTCGCGCCGATGCCCTCGTCGGCCGCACCATGTTCGAGACCGACTCGGTTCCAGAGGCGTGGCTCGCGACGTTGCGATCGGCAGACACACTCTGGCTGCCCACGCCGCACGCCACTGCTATCTTTGCCGACGCACTCGACAACCATGTGCCCGTCGAAGCGCTCGGCCAGACCGTCGACATGACGCTCTTTGCGGCATCGCCCGACTCGCTGCCCGAGCTCGACTCTGTCTTTCTCTATGTTGGTCGCTGGACCTCCCGCAAGAACGTTGCCGGCCTCATCGCCGCCTACCTCGCTGCCTTTACCGAACGCGACCGCGTCCGCCTCGTCCTTCACACCCAGGTTCCCGGCGGCAGTCTCGACCACGCCATTGCAGCCATCGTAGCAGACTCGCCGGCGCTCGCGGGTCGCGACCAAGCCACCTTTCCGCTCATCGAGGCCTCGACAGCCGTACTCTCCTCGCAAGGCATGGCCGAGCTCCTCCGATCAGCTTCGGTTGTTGTCCTTCCGTCCCACGGCGAAGGCTGGGGCCGTCCGCTGATGGAGGCCATGGCTGTCGGGCGGCCCGTTGTCGGAGTTGCCTTTGCCGGCCCGCCAGCTTTTGTCACTCCGGATGCTGGCTGGCTCCTTGATCCACACCCGCTCGTCTCCTTTGCCTCTACCATCGGCGCAGACCACTATCCCGGCCACCGCTGGGCCCGCGTCTCGACGCCCGACCTCGCACGCATCCTCCGTCTTATCGCTGATCTTCCTCACTCCGATCTCGTTGCTCGCGGCCGCGCAGCTGCCGCCGCCATCCGTGCTTCGCACGCCTTTCCCACTATCGGCGCCCAGTACATCGCCGCCCTCCTCCGGGTCATTCTCTCGCCCCATCTCGACGCCGAACCGGTGCCCACCTTACCACATCGCGCTCGCCCGGGAAATGGTCATCAACTTTAATCGCCACACATGCGCCAACCGTCAGCCGTTCGTCGGCTGGCGGCCGGCGGCCGGCGGCTGGCGTCTGGCGGCCCAACCCCAGGCCACCCCCCTCCTCCCTCGCCGTCCAAGCATGACAGGCAGGCGACGGGAGGCTACACACCTCACCCCGTCTTAGCACAACGACAGCCACGACTTGCCATCAAGAACAACATACCAAAGAGGCGAGTATGGCAAGTGTAGAAGTCATGGGAGAGGCGTTTGGGCGAAAGCTGTGGGACGCGGGACCGGCTGTGGTCGGGCACTTGGAAGGTGGTCACAAGTTTTCAAAGGATGTGCTGGAGGTGTTCAAGACTGTGGCTAGCATTGAAGATGAATATGCCAAGTCGTTGACCAAAGTCGTCCGCTCGGCTCTCTCTGATCGTCGTCTCGTTCGATGGGCCACTGCAGCACAAGGAACGGTGCCGCAAACCTACTTTTCGGTCCTCAATCATCTCATGATCGTCGCCGAGATGCATGGCGCTATTGCAGAGCGATTGACGGCAAAGTCTCTGCCTATGCTCACAGACTCGATCCGGGACTTTGGCCCAACTGTCAAGCATCTTTCATCCCGCGTTGCTTCGCTCGAGCGCGAGCATGAGCTGCGAAAGGAGCGGATGGCTCGGACTCGGGCAGAGTACAACGCGGCATCGGCGTCGTGTGTGGCAGAAAAGAAGGCGCTGCAGGCCATGAGCGTCGGAGAGAAGGAGGCTGTCATCGCCCGCCAGATCGTGGTAGCGAAGAAAGCTGCCCAGCGCGAGTCGTCGGCCCGCGCCGCCTTTCGCGATGCCATAGAGGACTTTAACGCCTTTCAGGCTGACGAGTATCTGCCGGGCCTGACGGCGGCGATGCAGGAGGCCGAGATCTCGGAGCGCCAGCGGCTTAATGTTCTCCGCGCTGGCCTCCGCACCGTCTTTCGAGCCTACCACCCCACCAACTCGGATGTCAGCACGCACACGCTCGCCCTCTCGGCCAAGTACGAGGCGCTCGACGTCGAAAAAGACATCACCATGCTTGTCGACATGTTTGCCACCAAGGCGCCCATGCCCGAGCCCATTGTCGAGGACTTGCGGACCCATGAGGAGCGGGTTGCAGAGTTCAAGACTGCCTTCCGCGAAGTCTTTGGCGAGCCATATGAGATCGAGCGCCACGAGCGCCGTCTGCAGCGCGCGCTTCGTCGCTCGCGCCGCCGCCGCGAGTCCGAAGCTGCCGAGATCGCCGCACGTGTTTCCGGCTCACCCACAGTCCGCCGCCGCAAGTCGACCCGCCGCTCGCGGACCATTTCCACCGCCAACACGGCTCGGTCCGCGCCGGTTGTCGAGTCCGCTGTCGCCGGCTCGCCCGCCTGGTCCGCCCACGTCGCCGAAACCGCTACCCCGGTTCCGGCCTCTGCAGAGCTCGTGACCGACATGCCTGACATGAAATCGCCGCCGCCGGTCGCTGCCAAGTCGGAAGCCACGCACCGGGTCGCCGACCTCATCCGCAATCAGAAGCGGTTCTCCACCTTTGCCTTTGAGCGGCGCGACACCGCTTTTGGAGGCTCGTCCCCTGTCACCGAGGACGTCGCCTCGGCAGGCTCTGCTGACTCGGACGCCACTAGCGTCGAGCCGCAGGCGGGCGACGTCGACCACTTTGCAGGCTCTGCGGCCCTTATGACCATCTCGTCCGACGACGATGTAGTCCTGGCGCTCCGCGAGGTGGCGCCTCGGAACTCGGTTGCTCTCGACAATCTCGACCTGGCGATTGCGCAGCATCCAGCCGCCGGCAACATGGCTCCTGTGACCGAGTCGACCGAGGCCGGGGCCGAGGCCGGGGCCGAGGCCGGGGCTGAGGCTGAGGCCGAGACTGAGGCTGAGATCGAGACCGAGATCCAGGCCGAGAATGTGACCAAGTATGAGACTGAGACTGCGGCTGAGACCGAGACTGAGGCCGAGACCGAGACTGAGGCCGGGACCGAGGCCAAGACTGTGGCCGAGACCGAGACCGGGGTCGTCCGCAACACTGCGAGCCTGCCCGCGACGCAAGTCGTGGAAGAAGCACTCGAATGCGAGGCTGCGCGTGGAGCGCAGGTCCGTATGACAGACTTTCGCAGCGACGAGATTACTGAGGCCTGGCGACTCGGCCACGAGCTGCTTGGCCGTGAGGCTGCACTGCTGCCAACAACACCACTGGCGAGCCGGCTATCGGACAACGTGGCCGAGGCCATCGACCTGGCGGCAGATCTGCTGGGTGTGTCCGCCAGTGAGCTGCTCGTGGCGGACGATACATGCGGCGCCGAGCCTGAGCCGAGCCCCGAGCATGAGTCCAAGCTGGAGCCAAGCTCGCCACCGCCACCTGACCTGGATGCGTACTCGCCGGCCGCAGTGACAGCTGCGAGCGCCGCCGCAGGTGCGGCCGGCGCGGCGGCAGTGAGTGCGACGCTGCTGCCAACGCCACCGTTGCCACCCGACGAGATGGAGGCGCTCGGTGATGCCGAGCTGGCCGCCCTTCTTGAACCGCAGTCGCCGTCAGCCGACTCGATGGCGTCGTCGGTCTCAATGAGTATGCTGGCAAGCCCCGAGGTCCAGGCCGAGCTGGACCAGATCGACGCCGACCTCGGCCTCGACGAGTATGCCTCGCTCCCTGTTTCGGCGCCCAATGTGGGCACACAGTCGGGCTCGGCTAGCGGTGTCGACGTCGACGTTGACGCCCTCGCCTCGTTCATCATGTCGCCGGACGGGACCGAGGACTCGCCGCTCTGGCAAGCGGTCATGAGCGGATCGCCGAGCTCGCCGCTGGGCGTGGCGATTGCGGACGAGTCGTTGTCCCTGACCTCGCCCGAGTCGAATGCACTGGGTGTGGAGACAGCGCCTCAGCCCCAGTCCGAGCCCGAGATGGTGGACATGCCGCTGCCACCGCCGATGCCCGACATGCAATCGTCACTAGAGCCCGGCGTGGCATGCTCGCCGCCACCGCCGCCACCGCTGCCGCAGCCGCAACAGCCGCATCTGACACAACCCGCCAAACCGGCCGTGCCTGTCCGCAAGAGAAGCGGGCGCGAGAAGCGAGAGTTGCCGCCGCGCCCGTCGTCGCAAACGTCGGTGCAGCTCGGTGAGACCAACGCACACCAGCACGTGCCGGGTGGATCTCTGCTTGCGCGAATGCGCGCTTCGACGACCGCTTCTGTGGCACCGTCTCGCGACTTTGGACGCGCAGTTGAAGCCAGGTCGGAGTCGGACCATGGGGCTGGCGCTCGGTCCCGGGAGGGTTTGGCGTCAGGCACCGGCGAGCAGACGGCTTCGTCGTTTGAGTCCAAGCCGCAACCAGAGTCGCTGCCTGTGATCAAGGTCCGACCGGGACGGGCGGTGACCGAGGCCGCGATTGCGTCGAAGCGAGCAAGCGTGGCGGCCAAGCGCGGGTCCAAGTTTGGCATGGTCCGTGAATGGGACGTTGTGGCCGCAGAGCGAACAATGCTCTTTGGATTCATGGTCAAGCAAGGCGGCGGACGCGGTGGGCGGAAGAGCTGGAAGAAGCGCTGGTTTGTGCTCACCTCGCGGGCGCTGACGTACGCCACAAAGAAGGGCAAGGATCCCAAGGGCTCCATTTTTGTCTCGGCCATGCGCGCGGTGGGAACGTCGGACGAGGCGCGGCGTGGCGAGACGTGCATTGTGCTCGAGACCATCACGCGGACGTACTACTTTTACCCTGCAGGCGACGGCGACGACCAGGCCGCGACGGTCAAGTCGTGGGTGACCATGCTCAACTCGCTCATATCGTCGGGTGGTGTCGGCTCCAACTCGCGGTCGCGTCTTATCTCATTTTCGTCCGGCCTGCAGGACGACTCGCTGCTGGCTGAGTCTGGAGCAGCCGATGGGCTCGATGTAACCTCCACCGAGCTGGTGGTGCTGGAGGGCCAGCTCAAGTTTGCCACAGGCGCGCCGCTGCTGATCAACTCGGCGACGGCCGGCTCGTCGTCGTCGGTGGTGGTGCGATACTGCGTCCTCACCCCTCACTCGTTTGTGGTCCGAAAGAAGGAGAGCGCGACCAAGGCCAAGCACACGGTGCGCTGCGCACACATCCTGCACCTCATCGGCCACGAGCCCGGCTCCAAGCCGTCGCACGGGTTCTCGATCCAGACGCCAGACGTGCTGATCCGCCTGTACGCGTCGAATGGCGTCGAGATGTACGAGTGGATTCAGGCCTTCCAGCTCGTCATTCGCTCACATCGCCGTGCTGCGGCCAAGCCATCGGCGAGCGAAGGTGGCTTGAGCATCGCCGCCGCCGCCGAAGCTCTTTCCTCGCCGCCGCCCTCCTCGTCGTGAGTGCGCCCGCCGGTGTTGCAGAGATGTTTACTTGCTCCAACGCGTCAGCGCGGGCAGGAGAGGAGCTGGTTGCGGATGGCGGCGACGAGCTCGCTCGCCGAGACATTGAGGGTGGCAGCGACATTGGGAAGAGCGGCCGACCGGACGCGAAAGGCGACGTCGTCAGGCCCAGCAGGAGGTGCGTCCGGCTCAAGAACGCCGCGATCAGCGGACCAGTCAAAGAGGCAGGCATCGGTCCCATTGCCCTCGTAGCTGCGGTACGGGTTGAGCTCGATAACGAGGACGTCAAACGGCTCTGCGCCAAAATCGGCAATGTTGGGGTTGGGGACGAGGGCAAAGTCGATGACGACAGAGGTAAAGCCAGCAGCAACGAGCTTGTCGCGGATGACGTCGTTGTAAAAGTCGACGATGACGTCGCGGTACATGTCAGCGTCGGCCACAACAGCCGGGTAGCACACCACATGGTTGTACTGCGAGAGCGCGGTGAGATGGCCGTCGACCACAAAGCCGCGGAACTCGAGGTGGGCCTGCATCGGCACAAATTCACGGACAATGACGCCCATGGAAAAGTCGCCGGTCCGGGCACTGGCCACGTCGAGCTCGAGCTGGATGTCCTCGGCGATGCGCTCTGAAGCCGCAAGGAGCGCCAGCGCCGCAGCGCCACTCGTCACCTTCATCGACGTCACCGCACCCTGGAGCAATGCCGCGACAATGGCGTTGTCCACCTCGTTGCGCAGCTCGAGATCATCCGCACCGCCGCTGCCGGGCGTGCCCACCAGCAACACGCCCGTGCTCTCGGCATAGTCTCTGGAGCCGAGCAGCTGCCAGGCATCGGCAAGCAGCTGCTCGGTGGCCAGAGTAGCATCCTTTGGCGAGCGCGACGAGGCCTTGACAAAGACCTCGCGGGTGCCCAGCGCTTCGCAAGCAGCATCGATCTCGGCGGCGAGCTCTGCGAGAACCTCTTGGCCGACCAGCTCGTCCTCACTCGCATTCCGAGCATCTCGCAGAGCGAGAGCAGCCTCTCTTGAGAGCGGAACAGTGATCGATCTTGGTGTATGTCCATCAAAAGTAGCCAGCCAAGCCTCAGCATCGACCTCTCGGACCTTTTCCCATACTTTTTCCAACTTTGCCGCATTGCCCGACTCCCCTGCGCTCGCATCACCGCCACTACTTGTACTCATCGTTCTCGCCGTCACCGCATTGAGAGCAGAGGCAGCCGAGGTGAGGTCGGCTGCCGAGAAGGGAACAGCCATGGTCAAGCAGAGAAGGGGGGGGGGGGGGGAGGGAGGGGGGGAGGGGGGAGGGGGTGAGGTGGTGGCTGGGCCGGGGAAGAGGCCTGGGGGAGGGGGAGAGGGGAGAGGGGAGGGCGGAGAAGGGAATGCGGATTGTAAAGGGCATGGGGATAGGGATGGTAGAGGGGATGGAGAAGGGAGATAGGGATATGATGGGGATGTAGAAGGAAGATGGGGTTAGGGATCGCAGACGGGATCGGATCGTAGATGGGGTCTAGACAGGATCGTAGACAGGATCGTAGATGGGATCGTAGACAGGATCGTAGACAGGATCGTAGATGGGATCGTAGACAGGATCGTAGATGGGATCGTAGACAGGATCGTAGACAGGATCGTAGATGGGATGACAT